CGTCTTCTTATTTATTTGGCGCAACAAAAAACAGGAAAAGAAACGCAAAAAAATTGTCAGTGATAAATTTTGTTTACAAGTTGCTTTTTGGGCCTGGCATGAGAAGCGCGTAGAGAGGCGCGCCTTAAGCTCACAGCTCGAGGCCAGAGGCTTTCAGCTTTCAGCTTTAAGCTTTAAGCTGTTCCCCTGTTGACAGTTGTCAGATGGCATTGCCGACATTTCCGATATGGTCACTATACGATTAACACAGGCCCCCCTCCCTCCCTGCCCCTACGACTCCGTCTCGCTCCACACGCAACGTAACAAAACTAAACCAAAGTATTCCAATTCGCCTAATTGTAATTTTCTTTGTTTTTTTTTTTGTTTCGTCGGCGCTTGTTTTGGGGGCGCTTTATTTTTTTTTTCCTGTCCCATGGGGCAATGAGCTGCCAACAACTGCCACACAACTAATCGGGGCCCGTCTCTCAAGCCTCAAGTTCCCAATCCTGAATCCTGAATCCGGAATCCTCTGGTCCTCGCGCTCATTCGCGCACGCTTTGAATCAGTTGTGACATTTCCAAGCTCAGCTACTCAACGGACCTCACATACCTAAATTCGGCCTCAGGGGAATGCCTACACACGCACGCACACACACACACACACACACACACACAAGAAATGTTGTTAAGCGTAGTTTGTATACCCTAGCAATACCCTGCAATGTTCTTCATTGGGTTACTGCGTACTATTCCATACGATATCATTAGAAATTTTTAGGGAAAATATAAGTGCCAAACGATTTTTTAGGCCGATTGCAGCTTATATGTTGTTCCAATTCCAATCGTTCCTATGGCGGATGCTCATGTGCCCGCGTAGAACTGACTTTATCTGTGCATTGCAGGCTTTCCACATATGTCTTTGCTTTAGATATTACTATGTTCCATAGTTTCCATTGTATTCCCTTTGTGTAACTCTTTCATGGTTCCAATTTCGTGCGTTCCCATAAAAAACTGATTCAAGATGAAATGAATTATTATAAATAAACAAAAAAATTGCAACGGATTCATGTTCTCCATGTAAAAGTAACTTATAGCTGTTCCATTTCCATCGCGTTCCCATGACGCCAACAGCTCGGAATAGCTCAGAACTGCTTGAGCAGACATTTATAACGATGTTATTACAAACTGAAAACTGTTTTCCGAAACTTTGCACTTTACAAGACACAATGTTCCGTTTCCATTGCATTCCACTTGTGGCCTAAACTTCTTTGCATACAATTACAGTTTATTTGAAATCGGTTCTTTATTGTTCCCCTGTTCCACTTCCCATTTCGTTCCTTTAATGCAAAGTACTTCTTCCCTTTGCCATTGTTCCCCTGTTCCACTTCCCATTTTGTTCCTTTTATGCAGGGTACTTCTTCTTCCGGCCAAGGCATACGGTTTTTTTGTAATTTGTTTATCATCTGTTTTATGTATTCATAAGTTGTGTTTGTTTCACTTTCCATGGCGTTCCCCTGGCTATGCGCTGCAAAGCCCATCACGTAGTTCGTTCCACATTGTCCCCGGCCCAAGGGCAATACAAATGATGACGCCCGCCTGGTGACAGCCACTTGGCTCCCAGCTGGATTTCGACGCTGGATTGCCTCGCGACCCGCGACCCTCGCGCTACCTCCCAAGTTATTTTCGCTTTACCCCCCCGCCCCCACGCTTGGCACACGTCAAGCTGAGTTGACTCGGCGGCTCGGGCCGCAGGAAACGTGTGCCTCGTGTCGGTTCCTGTCAAATTTCATTTTCACTTTTTGCCAGCTCTTAAATAATATTTGTTTTAACGCACAGTCCGCCCATCCTCAAATTGCGCCGTGTTGTTTTTAATCGCTTTGCCGGAATTTAATAATTTTAGCTAAAAAGCCTGGCGGCTCAGCTCGGCTCGGCTCTCAAGATGTTTCCCATGAACAGCTCACACCTGCTCGAGCTCCGGCTACGGCTCCGGCTCCGGCTCGGGCTCCGGCTCCGGCTCGACTTTGGGCTCGTCGAATACAGCTTTCAGCTGTATTTCAGCTCAAGTTTCAGCTTGATTTGCTCACTTATGGCCATAATTGTATTACTGGCGGGAAGAAGCGGGCCTCTGCTCTTACACCCTACCCCCTGCCCCCTGCCCCTACGCCTAGCCAGTGTCTAGTAGCAGGCCCTACTCCTTATGTGTCTGGCTCCAGTTGATTGTCAACATTTCATTCGTTAGCTCTTCTCTAGAAACAAGCAAAACAATAAACAAAACTCAACTCTCATTAACCAAAGGCACGCGACGCGCACATACCCTGTGGGCAACAAATGTTGCTGCAGGCTTTCCCTTTATGATACGATTCTTGCCTAGACTTTAGCTTTAGCTATGTGATTCCTTTTCTCTGTCCATGTCGAACGAGAGAGAGAGCTAAAAGCTGGGCAGCACTTGGGTAGCTTAGCTGCCGTTGGAGCTCCCACTTCCTATTTGGATAGCTTGAAATAGTTGGCGAGCGTTTTTCCTTTAAGATTTTCATTTTCATACTTTTCCACAGCCATTTTCACGGCTTTCGTAATGCCCTTCTCTGCATGCCGCTTTATTTACAGGGTATAACACGATGTCAAAAGCCGAAGGCATTTTCTTCAACAAGAATTCCATAAACAACTTTCAGACAGGGTGTGCGTGTGTGTGTGTGTGTGTGATAAGCTCTTATATGTAGATACAAAATGGCCGCTATTTATATTTTTCGTATGCATTATTTGTTTGTTTATTGCGTCAAGAGCTCGCCGCCAGTTCAATGCCTTCTGGTCGAAATCCGAGAGCTCTACCTGAGCCTAATACCTGGCAGTGCCACGCCCCTGTACGCCCCTGCACCAAGAACATTTAATTGTTCTGCAATTTTTTGTCTTAGCTCACGTTGGGCGCCAGCGATTAATGCAATGGAAGGAAGTGCGTCTTGAGTGTGATAGGCTTATGTGGCTTATGTTTTGGCGTGTTCTCCATGGTCACTTTATGTGAAATTTGTCGCACTGGGCACTTTTTTCAGTTAAGCTGTTTTTTTTTTTTTTGTTCTCCATGTTTGTCCGGGTTTATTGGCTGAGTGCTTCCCATTTTGAATTGCTTTTAATTTTTTCACTTGTTGCACTTGCAGGCTTTATTAACACTTTCAGGTCCTCCATGGTCACATTTTGGTCGTGTACTCTGTCTCAACTAACATTTTGCTATTTCTTTTACCTGATTTGATGACAAAGTTAAGACAGAGTCGGGCCGAGAAGTTGATCCATGGCAGCTTTAGACACGTTAATACTTTTATTTAACACAAACGTGTCCTCCATGTTCACATGCTTGGCTTTAAGTTCTTTTTAGGCTACGATTTCTTATTGCTTTCACTTATATTTATTGATGCCTTCCATTTTCAGCGCCAGCCATTATTAATTATTGTTGCTATGCTGATTTTTGACGTCCTCCATGTTCACTTTTTCTCGAGCAAATCACAAATTGTTTATTTTGTATCACTAAACTCGAACGAAAGTTTCTGCCTGGTCATACAAAGCAGCTTGGACTCTCAATTGCATTCACAGGTCCTCCATGGTCACTTTTTTTGGGAAGTAAACTTCTTTAGTGGTTACTTTTAGCTTTGCTTTCACTTAACTGATGCAAAATTCGACTCCAAGAATACTTAACTTCGATGTTTGGATATTCTATGGCCTTCGCGAGTCCTCCATGGTCACTTTTTCTACAGTAAAGTTCGCTTTGATTAGTCAACAGCATGTTGATTACTTGACGTGAGCAGCAGCAGCTTGTTTAAGGCCCAAGCCTAAGCTTATATTCATTTGCCTTTGGTCACTTTTTCTACTTGACACTCACACACACACACACACCTCCATGTTCACTTTAAAGGCCGAGTTGTGGCATTTGCTTTAAGCATTTTCTGTGTTTTTTTTTGGCCCGCGTTGCGCGCAATGCACTGGACAATTGCAGAATGTTGAGTTTCCTTTGCTTTTTTGTCACAGTCGACAGACAGTTTTGATGGGAATGCGACAAGTTTCTAACGAATTCTTCGACTTGAAATGTTTTTGTTTTGCAAATTTGTGCAGATTCAATAAAATGAAAACGACAACTGAGCGTGCACGATTGCCAGATATCCAGTAAAACCCAACTATACTCAACAAATGCTGCAATCGATATTTATCGATTTTGAGAATAATAGACAAGTTATCAAGAAGTAAATGCAATTCTGCATAAAAGAAACTAAATTCCGGAAGAAGCATCTACAGCTCTTAAGTTATTAGAGACGTGCGAAGCAAGAGACTCTGGTTGAAATTCGATATTTATCGATTTTGTATAACATGGCGCTGCTATCGAAAAGCTAAAATTATTTTGAGCATGATATAAGAGACAATACAATCTTCAAAAGTCAGCAGTTCTTTAGTTCTCAGAGATATGCTAAACGGAAGCAGAGGCACATAATCGATATTTATCGATTTTGAGAAAAATAGTGTAGTTATCGAAGCGGTAACTGGTTGAACATAACATAAGAGAAGCTACACTCCAGAAGAAGTATCGCTAGCTCTTTAGTGCTCAAAGACATGCCTTAAAATGAGAGAGACTGAAAATCGATATTAATCGATATTGAGTAACATGAAGCAGTTATCGAAAAGGTGATCTAAGAGAAGCCGGCTCAGCTGATATGTATATATATTCTCTACGCTCGCAGCAAGACAATATGCCCATTCTCAGCGCGTACAGGGTATGACAACTGGGCGAATATCAAGCAAATGTTTTCGCTTGCATTCGACATATCGAGTGCGGAGCAAGACAGAGGCGTGCATGCAAAGGGGGGGGGAAGGGGGGTGGGCGGCAAGGGGTTTTCGATGAATCAGCCAAAGAGGGCGGCAGACTCGCTCGCTCGAACCGATCGGCAGCTGGGGCAAGAGCGGGCCAGCCCCGAGCGTCTGGGCAGCTGATGATAGGCAGAGCCGCTCCGCACCGAGCTCGGGCCAGACAGTTCTGGGCGCGTTCAGAACGCGTCAACAACGCGCGTTCGAGCCACACACATAGAAGCTAAGCGGCAAATGGAGAGATACAATTCGAGGCGAGCAACAGCAACAGCAACAGCAACAACAAGAGACAACTGGGTGGATGCCGAAGATGTTGCCAAACGTGTCCAGAAACGCAATCAGCGCATGGAGATGCAAATGGAGGCGCAGGCGCTGGGCCAAATGGTTGAGAAGATGGAACTGGATATGGCGGAATCGCAGGCGCAAAATGGGAGGCAGGAGGAGCAACAGCAACTGCAGCAACTGCCCAGCATGCCTGTCCTAAACGAGCCCGAGTCGAGCGAGCAGCAGCAGGAGCGCAAGCATCGCCACAAGCACAAATCCAAGTCGAAGAAGGCCAAGAAAGCCAAAAAGCGTTCCAAGCATGACAGAGAGGCCGACTTGGAGGCCGGCAGCGTGCAGCCCAAGCGGCACAGGCAGCGGGAACGGGAGCGGGAACGGGAACGGGTCCAAGAGGAAGCTGGACAATCGACAACAGCTGCGGGTTTGCGTCCGAGTCATTGGTTCAATCAGAAGAAACGCATTTTGGAGCAATGGCGACGCGAGCACAGCGGCAACAACAAAAGCGATAACGATAACGATAACGATAACGATAACAACGATATCGATATCGATAGCGATAGCGATTACTAGCTGACATTCAACTGGAGTCTAGATTAAGTAAGTTTTTGCCGCAACAGCAGCAGGCATATCCATAAGAACAGCAACGATAACTATGTATATCGATAAAAGTTATCGATTACTTAAAGCGCTGAAGAAATGACCGAGCTGCATATCACTCGATTCAACAATGGCAACCAAAACTGTTAGCTCGATAACAACACAAGCATCGATAAATATATATATCGATATCGACATCGAATATCAGCTCAAGCTGAACCAAGCCCTAAGCTAAGATCCGTTTGTTCTTGCACTCTGCAACAACAGCTGCAACGATAACCAAAGAGTATGAGAAAATCGATAACAATATCGATATCGATAGCTATTTTTAGCTATTTTGAGCTCCACGAAAAAGTAGCCAAATATGCAAGGCAACAGCAATCACTTACTACAAGCAACAGCAGCAAATACACCAACTGTAAGGAAATCGATAACAATATCGATAACAATATCGATAACGGCGGATATTAGCTGCAACTGCACGAAATTGCAGTGCAACAAAACGGAACTGTACCAAAAGTTGTATGAAAAAGTGAATGATGTAATGCGTCCACCCACAACCAAAAGCAGCTGCAGCTGCAAGTGCGATTGTTGTGCGTGTGTGCGCTTGTGTGTGTGTGTGCGTGTGTGTGTGTGTGCGTGTACTTTGTGGCACGCAAAAACAGAACATTATTCTTTTGTAAATCCCATGAACAATGCGCTCGGCACGTGCGTGGCAAGCAAATTAACAACAAAACGCAATTCGAACCAACGCGCACATTCGACTCCCCCCCCCCCCCCCCCCTTCCACAATCGCAAGCGAACGACCGTCCCCTCTAAGCCAAAAGCAATTATCTGACAAGCTGGCCATAAAAATGGTCAATTACAACATCACGATTTAACCAATACACGATATAGAGACACACCCGCACACACACACACACACCCGCACGCACACACACACACACCCGCACACTCCGCATCTGAAAATCTGGGAATAAATTATGCATTTTCCATAGGCCGTCGCATTTTTCATGAACTTTATCAAAAGGTTGCGCGCTCAGGGTTTAAGATGTTGGCTGCGAGATAAGAAAAAAGTAAAAGCGAAAGCAAAGGCGAAACTCGAATATGCGGCCATTTGCTTTTAGTCTTAGACTAGCCAGATACCCTGTAATAAGTTTCTTTTTGAGAAATGAACGAATATTTAAAGTCAGGCGTTTGTTTAAATACTTTGCATTTGTTAAGCTGGCTCTGCTTGGGCATATCTTGACTTGGAATCAATGCTGCCCGACTGTAAGATACCCTGGAGAAAATATTTTTCGACTGATTGATTGACGAATTAATGCAGCTGCAGCCAAAAGAAATGGGCCAACTATTAAATGATAAACCTATGTTTGTGGTCGACTTAAATATACCCTGTAAAAAGTTTCTTTTGTTTTTATAAATATCGGTTAATATATATCAAACATTATTTGATTGGTCTAATGCAGTTAGAACTAGCTTAAAGTTGCTTGTCAATGAGCTTCGACCATGGGATACCCTGTAATAAGGTTTGATAGCTGGAAGCTATTTACGAGCATGCTAACTGTTCCATTTTATTGCGGCATGTCCATAAAAGCAGCTATAAGTTATGAGTAGTGACTTGCTACATACCCTGTGAAGAGTTGTGAAGGCTCTCGAATGGCACACATCAATTATACACATATACACAAGTGATAACTGCAAAATAACTAGGGTATATACATGTACCCCTAAACTTTATATATGTGCGCGTTAAATAACTATAAGGCTAAACTAGAGAAAATAAGAGTAAAGTTTCAGAATTCCAGGGTATTTAGGAGCACATACATCCCAAACTTGGTCGCTTTGGTTTGTTTAATTGCTCAGTTTACAGCTTTTGGAGAGGTGTCAGGCGACAAAGCTGCCGTGTTTACAGGGTATGCAAAGCAACAAGCGAAAACTTGCACACGTGTGTGTGTGCGTAGGTGTGTGCGTAGGTGTGTGCGTAGGCGTGTGAGTGTGGGCGTGTGTGTGTGTGTGGTAATCGAAACTGATGAAAAGGCGAGCAACTAAATTTCCAACGAAAAACTGTTCCAATTTCAATTTCGATTTCGATTCGAAATGAAATCAGCTACAGAAATCAGAGCACTCAATTGACGATACACACACACGCACACACACACACACACACACACACAAAATGCAACTAAACTATGTACATATTTGAGTGTGTGTGTTTGTGTGTGTGTGTGGGCGTCTCTGTGTGCGGATGTAAATGCAAAAAGCATTTAAATGGTCCAAACAGGAGCACAAGCCCCTCTGCAAGGGGTTAACTGTTTGAGGGGTGGCGGGGTGGCGACGGGGGGAAGGGGTAAGTGTGGGGTGTAGACCAAGGGGTTGTATTGGTTAATGTCGAGGCAGCCGAGAGACAATTTAATGCCGGAAATAGTTTTTCCCAGCTATGCTCATGCAGAATCAGAGCAGGGGTGGGGAGGGGAGGGGGAGGGGAGGGTGTGTGTGTGTGATTGCAAAATAAATTTACTAATAAAATGCCAAAAAAAAAAACACACAAATTGTTGTGCCAGGCCAAAAGGCTCAACCAACAGCTAAAGGTTCTCTTGGGTGTGTGTGTGTGTGTGTGTGACTGTGTGTGTGTGCGTGTGTAAAGGGGCAAACATTTTGTAATGAACATATTTTAAATGCAGGCCACGCAGCCGAGCAACAGCCGAAACAACATTTTGGCCTGTTCAAATGAATCTGAAAATGAGCGCAATTTGGGCTTTGACCTTGCCAAACTTTTGGCCTTTCACCCGGCAGGGGTTGGGGGAGGGGGGGGGGTCATAAAACATTTGCCTGTCTGCCGCTTCCAAATGAGCTGTGGGCGAATTGGGGGCGGGGTCGAGCGGCAACAGGCAACTGCGACTCAAGGTCATGTAAGCAGAAACCGGAAACGGAAACGGACCTTCGGCTGCGACGTGCGAATATGCATAGCAGAAGAAGCAGAGCAGAAGAACAGATCAAAGCGAACGATGCGATAAACAGAACAAACAATGAATCAAGAACATAAAGAAGACAGGAAAAGAAAAGAAAATCAGTTTCAAAAAGGATGCAAAAGTTTCAGGTGCAACTGGAAATGGAACTGGAACTGGAACTGGAACTGGAACTGGAACTGAACTTGGTTCAGATGAACTAGTATTAATAGATGCAAAAGTTAAGCAACTGCAGTTGGAACTCAGTTCAGTTCAAATCAAGCCACAGAAATCAGCTGGAACTGAACTTAGTTCAAATGAACCAGTGCAAATGAACAAAAATACCAGGAACTCCAGTTGCAGCTACGAATAAAGTATAAAGAAACAAAATCAGTTTCGAAAGCAAGCGAAATTCCCAAGCGCAATCGGAACTGGAACTGGAACTGGCACTGGAACTGAACCTGGTTCATAAGAACTAGTATTAATAGTTGACAAAATGTCAGCAACTTAAGTTGGAGCTGAGTTCAGTTCAAATCAAGCCACAGAAATCAGCCGGAACTGAACTCAGTTCAAATGAACCGGTGCAAAAGAACAAAGAAAAACAGCTGCAGCTGAGCTTTGTTCAAGTGAACCTTTAAAGAATTAAAGAAATATTAAAAAATACACAAATCAAAACTCACGATCAGTTAGTTTGAATGCGTTGCATTTTCATTATGCCGCTACGTGTCAATCACGATTGATGTCAATCAATTTGGGCAAAGCGAATACAAAAAACAATTTGCAAGGAATATTTAAAGTAATTACAAAACCCTTTGTCTCAATGCGTACGCATTGTTTTACGCCCATAGTGAAGTGCATTGTTTGAAAGTTTCGGCAGCTCAATCATGATTGATGATAAAAATTGTTGTATAATAAAAAATAAATCAAATACAAAATCGAATAACTAGCACAATTATCCCATAAAAATCAAGTCTCGATTCACAATATTCGTTCAGTTCGGACAAAATGTGCAAAAGCTTTCCTATTGTCATGTCAATCATGACTGATGTCAATCAATAGACATTTGCTAATATCTATGCAGACATTCATTTAATTACACTTCATCTCTTTTTCAGGGAAAATGCATTTGAGGTTGCCGACGATTGACCAACAACAACAATCAACACATCAAAGGCATTTCGGCCCGGAGCCCCAAAGGAGGAGGAGGAGCTGGCAAATGCATTGATCGAGGGGCGGAATCCAGTTGGTGGGGCTAGGGGGAGGGGCAGCTGCAGACTGCAGACAGCTACAAAAGATACTTGGGGGCATGAATTAATTTAAAGCTAAATGCAAACGGCAACACGAGCAATAAAATAAATTGGGGAAAATCTTTTGGCCGGCGGCGCAAACAGCGCAAAGTGCCAACAAAAGGGGGCGGCGGAAATGGGGGCGGGGGGCGGGGTCAATTGGCTGATATTTCCAATTCGAATGCGAAATTGCTGCCACGAAGTGATTGAAGAACTTTGAAGAGTGCATAACGGAGGAAGAAATAACAAAAAAAAAAGAGGCAAGAAAATAAACGGAAAACTGAAAAAAGAAGCGCGTAGAAAGTCGAACTGATAAATATCGCAAAGCTGGTTCTAACTATTTAAGAAAAATACAAAAATACTTAGATATAGATATATTTATATATATACATATGATGGTATACGATATAACTGTCCAAAGAGAAATACATCACGATCTTTCCAGAAAATATCAAATGGAACAATTTTCCATTTATTTAAAGAGTGTTATATAATACGATAGATATATATATATATATCTATATGGTACATCACGATGTTCTATTTCTTTAGTAGTAGTAGTTATGCTCGAGTATAAGTCCTTATATAAGATGATATGGGAGCAGTTATTGGTTAACTGAGTTGATCTCAGCTGAATGGAAAATGCTCGTAGGAAAATGTTCAAGAACTTGGAGAAATATGCCCCAGAATGATATCTGAGAACAGTTATGAGTAAATTGAATGGGGAAACTGTTCAAATTGAAGACAGCAGAGAAGCTTATATATATGTCATATAAGCATATGATATATGCCAAGTTATCAGCATACTTTTAGATATAGAAACTATATAAAGAAAATAACGTAAAACTTCTTTATACAAAATATACCCAAACAGCTTGCTAAAGTGCATATGCTTGGCGTGAAAGGGCATATGCAAAGGAAACGAAATTTTAAAGAAAGGAAATTTTTGCAAGCTGACAGCAACGTTATTTTTTTTTGAGAGCGATGGGCGAGAGGGGGGGGGGGGAGTGGGTGAGTGTGTGAGTGGGAGAGCGCGCAATTAAAAGTAAAGTGCTGTTAAAATATAGAGCTATATATAGATAGATATACATATGTATATATAAAGATAAATGTAATGGGAAATTGCTGTGTATGTAATGCATAAGAAAAGTTCGCAAAGTGCAAAGGAATGGGTTATGGAGAGATTGAGGGGCTGTTAAAAACTTACCAGCTGTTTTTGCTGCTGCAGCGAACGCAACGCTGACGTTCTTTAGCCAAAGGCGAATTCAAATTGAAAACAAAAACTTGAGAGGTGGGGGGGGGGGGGGCCCGGGCGTTGCTTCAAATGGCCGTTGGGCTGAAGTTTCTTATGATTTGTTGTTGCTGCTGCTGCTGCAGCGGCAGAGGGCGCTTTGTTCGTGTTGTTGTTGTTGTAATTGTTGCTCACTTTGAACTGTGTCCGTTAGCTGGCGACAACAGCGTTGACGCTGACGCTGACGTTGACGGCGCTGCTGATGGCGATCTGAAAGGCGTGCGAAAACGAAAGGGAAAATAAAGAGAGCGAAATTAATATAAATAAATACATACATACATATATGCATAATGTGAATCTATAATAAAATTGCCGTTAAATTGCAATGACCAGGGCTGCAGCGAGGGCTGCAGCGAGGGGGGGGGGGGGGGGGGGCGGAGCGCTCGGCGGCTTGTTGTGAAATTGCGTTTATTGTGCATGTTTTAATTAGCAATTCGCTTATCGCCTCTGATATTGGCAGCGTGATTGCAATTTTTATTATTATTATTATTATTTTTCATTTCAATAGTTGAAATTTGCATAAAAATAACCCAGCGCATAATTTGGTCTCGAAGCACTTTTAAATTTGCATTTTAAATATAAATACATATGTTATATATATATACATATATATATATATATAAATTTTTGCAGCAGTTTTTACATTTTTACATTAACAGCGCCCCGTTAACAGGGGCGAAAATTGAATTGGCAGCAAAGTGTGCTAAGCTTTGCGGCAAAATGAAATGCACTTTATACTCTGTACACAAAGTGACAACGGGTATTTTGGCTTGGCGCCATCTCTTTCTTGCTGTTGGGCTGACAATCGGAAGGAACAGTATAATGTGCCTAGGGCACAGTTGGAAGGCAACTGCTTTGGGGTTACAGTCAGTTAAATTCAGGTCAAGCGTAAACTTCACCGGCTGACTTACACTGTTAATAGAGTATGGCGCAGTCGTTGGCAGCCGTTCTTACTTGTTAATTCTCAAAACTTGTTGCGGCGCCGCTTCAAACTTGTTGATAGCTTTGGCAATTGCGCTCGAGTGCGACTGTGTTAGTGCGCGCTCATTAGGCGCCTAATGGACTCACTGGGAGAGCGGGCGAACGGGCGAGCGGGTGCAGCAGCAGCAGCTGACTGCAATGTAAATGCGTCGGCAACTGCGACTGCGACTGCGAAGGCGACGGCAACGGTGACTGCAATTGCCGTCGCAGTGAAAGAAACGAAGAAGCAGGGCGAGCGCGTCAACGATTCGTGTTGATTGGCAGACGCAGCCAATTAAACGTGCAAAGCGATTTCAACTGTCGAATTCGCTGCGTACTCTCTCTGTGTAAGTGTGTATAGATGTGCGTGTGCGTGTGTGTGTGTTACAGTTAGAGCGAGCAAGCGAGCGTGTGCTCAGCTATGTTGATTAGTCCGTGCATATGTATGAGTGCGTGCAGCAGCAGCAGCAGCCACAACAACAATGACCAGTTGATGATGTGCATGTATGTGTGTGTGTGTGTGTGTGTGTGTGTGTGTGTTTGCGTGTGTGAATGCGTGTTGGTGCAATACAATGGCAAACATTTTGCAGCTGCCTACGTTGCATAGATATGGGCATAAAGGCGCATAGGGGCTGGGCTATGTCCACCCCCTTTGGCAGCAGCTGCTGCTGTTGCTGCATTTCTGCTCCTTTGCCCTCTCTCTCTCCCTCTCCCTCTCCCTCTCCCTCTCCCTCTACAGCGTTTTGCTCTTTCTCTTATTGCACATATGCAGCGTCAGCAGCTGCCTGGCAATAACAACAACAGCTACACCAATGCTTAGCCCAATCTAACCACCCCATAGGTAATGCCAATAACAAGAGTGCGCTAGTCGAGAGTGCTCGACTCGCTGTTACCCTGTAGCAAGCATTTGCATTTTCTGCTATGCACACACACACGCGCTCGCAGACGTTTGCTGCTGCCTGTTACACACTGTTGCCGAGAAACCGTATGCCCCGTTTTTCAATGCGGGGGGGGGGGGTACAGGGCAGCGCAACACGACTTTTGCCTGTGCCTGTGGTCAACGTTCGCTCTCGCCCATAAAACTAAACGCCCCCAACCCCCCCCCCCCCCTTTGCACAAAGCTGCTGCCTTTTGCTTTTGCGGCATTTTCCGTTGCTTCTCAAATGAGCGACAGACCAGCAGCAGCAGCAGCAACAGCAGCAGCAGCAGCAGCGGCAACAACAACACTTAAATGAGAGCCATTAGAAATCGAAACGGATGGTAGTTAAGATTTGACATTCAAGATTTCCACTTAACGATAGTGCCGCAAAATCGTCGCGCGACGTAAGAAATTAACGTCAAGCGCTGCTGCTTCCTCTTTCTCTTCTGTTTCTTGCACATTACGTAAGGCTGCCATTAAATATATGTATGTATGTATGTGTACGTGTGCTTTCCTATTTGTGTTTTCAAATAAACCTACATATTTGTTCCTGTTACTTTAAGGAATTGTTTAGCTGCTTTTTTTTTTAAGCTTAACTTTATTTTTTATTGTTACTTGCATTTACTATTTTTTTAATTTTTAATGAGCTTGAATCTTTGTTCTTGCTTTACACTCTTCTGCTCAGCCTTCGTCTACGTATCTGGTACGTAGATTAACGTAATATTCCTGATAATTGCTTTTACTGTCTGCGCATATTTTGAGGTTAACAATTGCAACCGTTTGCTACTGCCGCTGCTTCTTCTTTCGCTCAGGTGCAACAAAGTTGTTGTCGATGCAAATTTGTGCAACGCACTTAGCCAGCGAGCACCCTAACACCGGCGTCTGTCAATGCTCCCCCCCTCCCCCCTCCCTTAACGACCCTAACCCCAAAAAAAAGAAAAAAAGAGACACAATCTCTCCGGCACCCGCCACCCCTCCGCCAAGCCACAAGCATCATCCACAGACCACGTCAGTCCCAGACTGGATGCAAGCAGAAGCAGACGTCGCTGCGCTGGCGACAATGTTGACTCGCTCTGCATCTTCTTTGCTGCTCCCCACTCCATGCTCCCTTCCACCCGCAAGCACTCCTCCTCCTCCAATTCGCCGCAGCGCCTGCTGCCGGCTTGTGTCTTGGCAACGCTTTCGTAATTGCTTATGCAAATTTCACAGCTGCAAGTACCCGGTAGTCCGTAGAACCCGGATAACGGTGGGAGCGACCCGCCCCCGCGCAGCTCTTAACCCCCCCCACCCCCCCCCTCAACACCACACTTTAACCCTCTGACAACAAAATTTTACTTTTTGTCTACTTTGCCTCTGGCTGCGTCTTTTTGGCTGTGAGTTTTGTTGGCACTCAAAGTTTACCTTCACACACACACACACACACACACACACACACACACAAACGTACACAACCCCCTCCCCCACCCCCTCCAATTCGCCCCGTTTGCTACCTGCGGACCAACGCGCAGTTTCATTGTCAACGTCGACGGCCTCAGCTCGAGCTGCCTGCGCTGGCATTTGCATGGAAACGAAATGCATTTGCTCTGCAAGCCATTCCCCCTTCCCCTCTCCCCCTCCCCCTTTCCCTCCCCCACCCCCACCACCACTCTGGCTAACCCAGCAGCAGGCCCTTAACTGTAATTTTTAATGTGCAAAACAAATACAAATTAAAGCTATGTAAATAAAAGAGTTGCGCGCTCGCACGGGCTACAAATTCAAAGAAATTCCGGCTTGCAATGCAAAATGGTGAGCGAGGGAGGGGGGAGGTGGAAGGAGGGGGGGGGGGTGGGGTGGGGGTAAGCGAAGCGAAGATGCAGCCTGGAGAGTTGGGGGGTGACAGAGCAAGCAGCTTTTGTTGCTGAGTCTCTACACGAGAATTTGCATAATAAATGTGTGTGTGTGTGTGTGTGTGTGTGCGTGTGTGTGTGTGTGTATTGCACTTGCATACTGTGAAGAAGAACAATTCAAATACTTGATTAGTCACAAAACAAAACAAAAAAAAAAGCAGTTGCAAATTGTGGCAAAGCGAATAACGGCAAAATGTCATTGATTTGACAAAATGTGATATGTGAAAAATGTGATTGTGAATTGACATTGAATTGAATGACAACTGAATGTTTCCAGTTCTATTTGCATAACCAGCTCAAGAACCAACTTTGCATTTTTGTTTATTTTGGCAACAAAAGGATGCCACAAAGTGGAATGCAGGCTCATTCGAAATGTTAGCAATGATTGTTAATGAAAATACACGCATTCGAATACACATTCACAGACAATTTTTCGCTTGAATCTATCCTAAATGTGAAATCTTCAAATCGGTCGAAAAATAATTAATATACCAAAAAATTTCATTTCATTCAAATTTTTTATATGTTTAATGTTTAGATCCAAAATGTTTGTACCCCAAATATAGTTCAGTTCGGTTTTCCGGTTCGAAATTTAATTTATAGTGAGCAAAAAAGGGTATTTGAGAGTCGACTTGGTTTTCCTTTTACTCAATCAGCTGCAGCTGAAACTTTACAGTTTTTGCAGCATTGGCAAAGCGCAGCGAGCTTTATATGAAGTTTAGCGGAAGCAGCTGCTGAGCCTTAAAGTCTTGCAGCTGCAGCATGCAATACACACACACACACACACACACACACACACACACACACACACACACACACACACACACACACACACACACACACACACACACACACACACACACACACACATATATACAAAATTGAAATCATTTCATTTGTTTGGCTGGTTTTGGCGCCTAACGGCTATTTTATTAGGTCGTGTGGACAGCTGCAAGCATGTGGGCGTGGCAGAGTGCAGCAGATGGTTGTGGAAGCAAAAAGGCCGTAGAGAGGAGGGGGGTGGGGGGAGGGGGGGGGAGGCGTTGTGTGCATTGTATACAGACACTTGTGACGCGTGGGCAACCGCTTGATTTATGGCCAACGGGCGTTTGCTTGACGGCCAACAATTTGAAGGGGGGGGGGGGGTGTGGGGGGCAATAGGTGGTAAGAGGAAGGGTGGGGGGGGTGGGGTTGGTCGAAGTCAGTCGGGGGTTGGGGGAGATTCAGATACGACTGGGCCTGAAGCGGGATTTGCTATGTAAAACGATAAAATGGCAAACTTTTTGGTTTTCAGCTGCGCTCATTTAATGGCCACAAAAGCAAGAGAGAGAGAGAGAGAGAGCGAGAAAGAGAAAGAGAGAGAGAGAGAGAGAGAGAGAAGCAGAGAGCGTGGGCGAAAGTTGCTTAAAGAAATTTGTTAACTTGTGCAAACAAGTTGAAAGTAC